CCAGGCAATGTTTGCATAGTTTATATAACAATGTATGAGGGAGAAATATAAAATTTTTTGGCAGTTTTGGTTTAAAAACTGCTTGGCTTTGAATAGTATACCAATATTTTTTGAAACTTTATTTTCTATTGTACTTATGTGTTTTCTCCATGTTAAGTTTTCATCAAGTATCACTTTTAAAAATTTTATTGATGACTCTCTAATTATTTTAGAGTTGCCAATATAAAGATTAGGAAGTTTTACTGGAATGTTTTCTTTATTGTGAACTCTATTAAAAAAAGTATACTTAGTTTTATTTAAATTTAAGGACAATTTGTTCGCCTTGAACCATTCCGCTAGATTTAAAAGTTCTTTGTTTACTATTTTAAATAAAAGTTTAATATCTCCATTAGAGTAAAATAAATTCGCGTCATCTGCAAATAAAACAGAGTTTAAAATGTTTGAAAACTTATGAAAATCGTTTACATAAATAAGAAATAAAAGAGGACCCAGAATTGAACCTTGGGGAACACCGCAATTTATTGTCATATAGGAAGATTTTCCTTCTTCGTATGATATGTATTGTTTTCTATTGTTTAGATAACTTATGAACCAATCTAAATATGTGCTTTTAATACCATAACTTTCGAGTTTTTTTATAAGAATATTATGGTCTTCTGTATCAAAAGCTTTGCTAAGATCTATAAAAACTCCAAGAGTAAACTTTTTCTTGTAAAATGCTTTGAATACATCATGAACAATATTAATAATGGCATGGTCAGTTGAATATAGTCGAAGTAAAAGAAACAATTTATATTAACTATTTGTTAAATATAAAAATATTTAACAAATAGTTAAACATTTGAGCTAACAACTCTTGGTGCTGTTCTTCGTAAAGCTATACTGCTTAAAGAGTTGTCAGAAAAGAAAGTATATCCATAGGATGATTTGTTTAGGGAAACAAGATTGGAAATTTAAGTCTGAGCTTGCTTTTTTTCTATTGTTTAACAGACAATGGAGAAAAGCAAACTCAGACTTTTCATCTTTAGTTATTTTTACAGATAAATTGACAGAAATATTAAAAAAATATTTATAATGATGTTTTAGTTATTTGCAGAAAGACAATAACTGATATAACTGCAAAAGTGCAATTTCATCCTGTAATGAATCAAGTTGCCTGAGATGTAAAAAAAAGTTTGTATCAATTGTAAATGTAAAAAGTCAGTAAAGATAACTATAATAAAATTATAATTTATTCACACGCAAGAAATGGAGAGAAAAAAAGAAGGAGAGTAATTTCAAAGTATGACAGGATCAAAAGATTGCATAGATATTATAAGGAAGCGAAAGGTAATTGAACGATGTAGTAAGAAAGAACTGAGTTTTAAGAAGGTCAAAGAAAAGGAGATGATAAATAGTAGCCGTTTCAAAAGAACCTATGATGAGGTTTCGGAAAAAAGTAATAACGAAGAGGGCTCTAAAAGTGACTTTGAATGTTTACGTTACACTGAACGTATTGATTGATTAAACATAAGAAATGATTTCAAAGTAAAACAAAATTATATCAAGATTCAAAATACTGCTATTGCTGCAATACGATTTGAAATTTTGCAAATAATAGATTTAGAAGCAGCAAAACCAATTTAATGATATTTAATAAAGAAACCAAAAAAATCTATCCTCTCATCAAAAAGGAAGATCACTATACTTTGACTGATGAATATTGTAAATATCTTTATTATTTAACCAAAGGAAAAATTTGTGAAGAATCAAAAATTAAATCTATTTTGCATGGTGTTGAACATAGCTTAAAGTTCATTGGTTGTGATAGCATAGCTACAAATACAGGTCATTATGGAGGTGTTATCCATTATTGAGAGATCAAATTAGAAAGAAAATTAGGATGGCTAATAAGTTCTATTCACACAAGTGAATTTTGCTTTCGGCATTTAATTGAAGAGCTTAATGGCAAGATAACTTCAAAGACTGGGTTTTCTAGACCCATTCGTAAGCTGCTTTCTAAGGTTACTGAAATGAAAAGAAACTACAGTTTCAAGCCAGTATCTCTAGTTCCTGGTTTAATTGAATCGGTAAGGAATTAACGGGTTATAACAAAAAGACGGTAATTTTTTTTAAGTTGATTAAGGTGCCCCAAGAAGTCCTTACGGTCTTATCACAGAGCACCGCGGAAGAGCATTTAATAGGAAGTTCACGCCTCCTTCCCAACCGATGTCGCAAAACTTGCCCAGAGGTGGGGTTTGAACCAAGGATCTTACGTAATGACTTTGAAGACAAAGTTATATAACATACTTTATATTAATTAAGGTTTCAATCTTATCTAGTTTGTAGTGTTTTCAATTCTATACAAACATGTTTTATTTTAAATTAAAATAATTTATTGTTACAAAAAAAAACGAAAGAAAAACAAGAACCCGTTGAGAACGTTTGTACACCTTTTATTTGAAAAATCAATCTAATTGGAAAAGTTTACAGTTGATCACTTTCTTACTGAAAAAGTTTCTATTAAGACCATCTAAACCATTATTTGACGCGATGAAAATAATTCTAGGGCACCAAAGAGTCCTTAGAAGTGGTAGGATTGCTTAAAAAATAACAGAAAGGAACATTGAAAGACTTAAAATAATGTTTGAATACAAAGACGGTATATCGCAACACAAGAAGCTCGGAAATTTAAGTGAACCCAAGTATATATCAGCAAAAAATTAAAAACAAAGTCCTTAATCAGACCAGAGAAGAAGGAAAAGATTCCATTAAGAACTTGTGACCAAAATAGAGAGAGTTCGAACGAAGTGCGGTCGGCTGTATCGAATTTCAAAGAATCAACAAATTGTTGATCCTTGACGACGAGTCGTACTTTACATTAACCACACTTCGATTAATGGAAGTGATATTTATTATTCAAAAGATGTTTCTCAACACCAACAAGTGTCAATTTCAACCCCACAGCAAAATATGAAAAGAAATTACTCGTTTTGATTTGCTTTTCCTATAAAGGAATATCTTCGCCAATATTTAGAGAAAGTGGCTTTGCAATCAATCAAGAATTTTACAAATATGAATGTATCAAAAACAAACTAATTCCATTTATCAAAAAACATCAATCTAATGGCGAATACATATTTTGGCCTGATCTGACACGTCTCATTACGCAAAATTTGTACAAAACTAAATGAATAAGAAAAACATTTTTTTTGTCAAAAGAGAAGATAACTCTGCAAATGTGCCTGAATGTCGTCCGCTTTTTTGGAGTTTTCTCAAAGGAAAAGTGTATGAGAATAATTGGAAAGCTGATGATCTCCAGAAATTACACAACTGAATAAAGTATTGTCTTTCTAAAATGGAAAATCTTGCACAGCGCCTTTCTGAGTCAACTCGGCGCCGTTTAGATTAAGTAAAACACAATGGCTTGATTGAAAAAAATTAATATGGAATTAAATTGCCCTCATAAAATACTATTGTTTTATTTTTTAAATTAGGTTTTTATCTCATGAACCAAGGGAGTTATGCCCTTTCAAAGTTATTACCGTTTTTTAGTTATAACCCGTTAATAAAAGAGTTATCTTCAGATCAGAGGTATGCTTATAAAATACGCTAGACAGTAATTTCAGGAACTCCTACTGAAGGTTTAGTTAACCAAAAACCAGACACTATAGTCCATTCAAGGTGGCTCAACACAGGTTCTTCCTAACTTTTATTGTGGATATGCAAGCATGGGTTAGAAGATGACCTGAGAAATCTAGAATTAGTTACAATGTTGTGTCAGCATACTTACTTACGTGGTCCCAAATCAAAGTGAAGCATAGTTGGATGGAAAGGCCACAGCACATTTAAACCAACTCAACCTTATCAAAACTCAAGATGAAAATGTACAAAAAGTTATTGAAAAATATGCGAGATCATTAACATGTCTTTCTTTAATATATATACCTAGAGGCAAAAAAACTAAAGTTGAAAAGTACGGAATGCCCTAGTATACATGCATACTCACATATGCAAAAATAGCAATCGTGGCGCAGTTCTGGGTCAGAACCAAGAAGTCCATATTTCGACTATGGCCTTTAATTTACAACACATTGCTGGATGTCTATTTGGTGGGTAAGGTAGAATATCATATTAAAGCGTTAATAAGTTTTTACAGGCTCAGCAACATTAAACCGAGCATTTTTGTGTCGTAAATTAACCTATTTCCTCATATTGCGGCTATTTTTATTTTATGCGTACTTCTATATAAGGCTTAAAAGCATTGTGTTCTTTAGGGAGCTCCATGGATTGATTTTTTAAATTAGAGCTTTTACAATACACGCAACTGATCCCACCAAATATAAAGCATTACCTTAAATTTATGAATGCTTTGCTTAATTAGATCATGATTTCAAAACTACCAAATTTTTTTTAATGATTTGAAATAAAACTACTAGTTCAAACCTCCATAAAACCAAAGTAAAAAATATTTTCCTGCATAAAATTACTTTCTTTTAATTAAAAAAAGAAATACTCTTTTTTTATTAAAAAATATCTTTAAATCTATATTTTTATTTCGCTTGCTTTAAGACAGGTTTACATTCTTTTCTAAAAACCTTTTTTGTAGTAATATAACCCGACGGGCATTTGTTTTTAAAAGTTACGTTTTAAATGTGTTTTAAACGTCTTTTAAACGTCTTTTAAACATTAATGTTTAAAAGACGTTTAAAAGACAATTAAAATACATTTAGATCGTAACTTTTAAAAACAAACGCCCGTCGGGAATGGAGTCCAATCAACAAATGGGTTCCGGCACTAATAAAAACAATTTTAAAAAAGAATCCTTTAAATTAGTTTTATTTTGTTATATATCTTTATATAAAGTAGTCTATGCAAAAGGCATAAATGAAAATATTTTAATTTAATCTACAAAAATTTTATCTACAAAACTTTATATCCTAAACAAATAATATTATTATTTATTCTCCAAAACATAACAAAACATAACAAAAATGCAATAAATATACACGATGATTAAATTATAGACGATGAAAGAAAAATTTTAAATAAACTTTTACTTTTTCCAATCTTGAAAAAAGTCAATGTTACATAATTTTACATCGATAACGACGTCCCATATTCATCAAATTCTTCAAACTCCTCGTGATCATCTTCATTATCGAGCTTAAAAACGAAATTAAGAATAATAAATGTTGTTTTACATGTTTTAAATGAAGATCTATTTGAACTTTAAGTTTATTTCTAACATTACAAACATTAGAAAAGAAAATCAAACACAGATAAATTAAAAACAAATAAATACTACGAAATTGACAATTTAAAAAATTATTTTTGAAATGTTTTTGTATTTTTTGACTTTCCATCAAATTCTCAATTTGATAAAAAAAGGAATGGAAAACATTTTCATGAGCTTTAAATAGTCACTTGACACGCTCTTTCACCATGGCAAAAGATATTTTTGCCAAAGGAGCTGCAAAAAATATTCAAGCTCAACATCAATGTCAGATGTCTTTTTGGCCATAGGTTTTGCATCATCTGTGTGTTTCTTTTTTTTTTTTTGTAAATTTATTTGCTTTCAATAAAAAAAAATTACAATTACAGAATAGCTTTATTACAAATATAATCGGCAGGACTTCCAGAAGATCATACGATCTTATCATGAAGCCCTTTACAATATCAAATATAAAAATAATAACAATAAAATCAAATTAACCAATAAAAATAAATCAACATAAACTATAACTGTGCATTTAAAATATAAATATACTGGATAAATTATATGAAATATATGAAACAAAAGAACTAAAAACAAGAAAAAATATTTTCTGCTGAAAAGATAACTTCTTTTAATTTCGTTTGAAAGAAGTTTAAGTCCATTTCAATGATAAATCAAAATTTTAGAAAACTATTTTATTCCATAAATGACCGCCATTGTCATCAGAATCTTGACTAAAAGTTGAATCAACTTACTTGTCCATTTCATCAATACGTTTGATGCAGTCTTTTGTGAGAGCAAAGTTTTTTTAATTGAGAAGCCTATATTTGGGTGCTTAATACAAGAGGGGTGGGTGAGTTGGTGGTGGTGAGCGGGTATTTGAGTGAGGGTGAAAATAAAAGAGGGGATAAGAATTTTAGTCTAGATCTGAAAAACAGAGGGAGGGTGGAAGGGAGGGAGGTTAATAAAAGGGTGGGAATTTTTCACAGAACAGGAAAAAATGTTTTAATTTTAGTGTGGCTTGCGTTCAAATGTACATTTTTTAACAACAGTTTCATCATAATTTTAATTAAGATTTAATATGCTTATATAAGTTTTATGATATGGTGAGAAATGAACAAAAACCTTTTTTTTGACAAATCGAAATTAAATAGATTTTTTAAAGGTTGATGATTTTTAAAGCCTGAAAGTTTTTATCTTAATCAGTGACTGATATGTATATTCTGATTTTTTTTTTTAGTTTTGAGATGTGGTTTTTTTGTTAATAACAAGTAAAAATTATTAAATGAGGGAAAAGCAGTCTTAATAAGCTTGGAGTTGGTGGAAAAAAGTTCCGAAAATTAATAAACGTTCCCTCCTGTGTATTAAGCACCTAAGAATACCTTCAGGATTTGTTTATTAATAGCAGTTCCAAACAGCATGGTGTACTGGACACTGGATAACCAGTATTGTATAAATACTGAGAGGGTCTTTAGTCTCATTATGTACTTTTATACTAATGTCAATACCACACAATACCAATAATAAAGTATGAGATTGAAAAAATGAAAACATTCTTATATCTACTGTTGGAAGGGTTATAAAACGTTATAAGAAGACTTTACCCATCAAACAAGCTAAAGGATCAGAAAGAATAATTTTTTAACAATAAATCTATGGTAAATAAGGATTGTTGTTCTTTTGAAAGAAATCCAGTCTAACAGAGAAAGACACAAAAAGTACAAAGTTTTTGATTTTTTCATATAGAAAGTTAACAAATACATGCATTTTGATGGACAACTTACATAAAATCTGACTTTAGTCAACTTTTTGGTGACAAATATTGTACTTAATTTGTTCGTGGCAGTGTAAGCAACAAGTACAAATACAAACTTGTGGATAAATATGACAAAAAATTGCTCTTATGGTAAGCAATTTGAAGTTGTGGAAAAAAAGTAGAGCTTTTGTGATGCCATCAACTTTGACATTAGAAATTTATATTCAAGAGTACTTTCAAAAGCGACTTTTGACACTCATTCGATTTCACGCTAGACCTTGTTTGCTTTGGCCTGACTTAGCTTCGTGCCACTATGCAAAAAAAAATTTTTGGAGTCGTATAAATTGAGAAAGGCTAATTTTTTACCAAAAAAGTTCAATCCACAAAATTGCCACAATTCAGGCCCATCAAAAAATATTGGGGTATTGGCAAAGGATATTTGCGTAAAACAGGCAAGACTATTAATTCAGTACAAGAATTGCTGAAGGCATGGTCAACCATAAACAAGAATTGCTGAAGGCATGGTCAACCATAAGCAAGAAAATGACAATAACAGTTGTGCAGTTGTGCATTTGCAGGCAACTTCACAGTAATGGACAATTATTTTTTTAGAAATAAATTAAAAAAATTTGAAGCTAAAAATATTTTTATACTCTTTAATTTCTTAATTTTAAATATAAATTTAAAAAATTTGTAAAAAAGTTATTTAAAATATATTTGAAAAGATTTTCCTTCCTAATTTTTTTCGATCTTATGCTATAAAAAGAATCTTATGGCATTGAATGGTTATATATTCTTGATAAGGTAAAAAAAAAAAAAAAAAAAAAAAAAAAAAAATGTGATTTTCAAATTTATTACAAACAAAATATAAGTTTGCTTTTTAGAGGTTTAGTTAATGGTTTTTTTAATGGTGAATGTGTGAATGTTTTTTTCACTATGGATATTTTTCAATCATTATTTTTTCCTTTTTTGTACTTTTGACGCATTTCTTTCCTTTTTTGTACATTTGACGAATTTAGAATAGTTCTGCATTTAAGACAAATTTATCAGCCTTTTCACTGTCGAGATTGTATCTATGATCAGTGATGACAAGAAATGGAAAATGCTCTTTCAGATGATGCAGATTTTCGTGGAGTAGCCAACCAGGACCTTGCAACACATGAAAGAATAGGCTGTTCTGTTGCATGCTCTGTTTCACCATGATAAAGTGTCAGTTTTACTTACATTTTTAGACCTTGTTTTTCTGTATTTTTACATTTCTAATTTATTAGGTGGATTTTTGTGTGATGATGTGAAGTAGTGTCTTCTCTTTTGCTAAGATAACTTTCATCTTTCTTATAACTTTTACTAAGATAATTTTCATCTTCCTCATAACTTTTACTAAGATAACTTTTAATAAGATAATTTTCATCTTCTTCATAACTTTTGCTAAGAAAACTTTATATTCATCTTTCTCACAACATTGCGTATTACCAGCATCCAAGTTGTTTCCAGCATTATCACTTTTAGAACTTGAAGCAAATAATAAGAAAATTCCAAATTTTTAGATTAGAGAAAGTCCTAATACAGTACACACAACTACCAAATATAAAACATTAGCTTGAATTTATGAATGTATAGCTTGGCACTGCATTCATAAACTAATTTTTTTTTAATGATGTTAGTTTTATTTAGTTTGTAAATGAGTGGGATTTTTAGTCGAATCATGGCAAGCAGCTTATCATAATGATAATTCCATTTTATGGTTACTGTGGAGAGCATTTTGAAGTAATTAGCATTTAATGTGGAATAAGCATCTTTCAACAAAGTAATTAGCATCTAATGTGGAATAAGCATCTTTCAACAAAGAAATTAGCATCTAATGTGGAATAAGCATCTTTCAACAAAGCACAAAAAGTGCTTTGTTGAAAGCTTTGTTGATGCTTATCAACTTAAGAAGCCTGGTAGTGAGTGAGCTGGCTTTAGGAAAAGCAACTTTTAGTTCCTGGTACACTTAACTGTCAATTGCATTGTAGTGTTGAGTTTGTGATCACTGCAGCTTATATGAGCTCTTAAAATGATAAATATGATGCCATACAATTCTAGACAATTTATATATATATATATATATATATATATATATATATATATATATATATATATATATATATATATATATATATATATATATCTACAGTTCTTGGAATAAGGGTCTGGATTTGGCAATATCCACATATCTATTGATCTTAAAGTGTTTGAGGTCGACAAAAAATTGCTGACCTGGTTTCTATGTGTTATGGTAAACCTTTGTATCAATTTTTTTTTTGCCAACCTCTAACAGCTTAAGGTCAACAATAAATTAACCTACCTCATTTTTTTAATTCCGAGGGATGTCTGCCTGTCTGTCTTTCTCTCTATATATATATACATACATACACATATACAAAACAATCTTATGGCCTTAGCTGTGTAATTTTGATTTAACTCAAGTTGAACCACTTTAAAATTGAACCTTTAAATATTCTAAACTGTGAATGTTTTTATTTAAAAGTCTGAAAAAAAAAAAAACTCATTGGAAAACGTTGAATGAAATAGGAAAAAAAAAATGCCACCATCCTAGAGCAAGTCTAACATCAAGCAACAATAACAAAATCAACACTTAAAGATTTTCTCAAACGGCCAAAACCTACAACACTTGAATAATGCCACAAAGAATCAACCTCATTAAAATCATACATCTTGAACTTATCAAACTTAAACTTGTCAACTTCCTCATACCTCAAAAACATTTAAATAAAAGTAATTTTTATAAATAAAACTACTGCTTTGTCTGCAGTGTCTTCATATCAACTGTATAGCAATCAGTTGTTTATAAAGTTACTAACAGTTTATAAAAATAAAATATGAATTCTCCTGAAAAACTGAGTCACAATACAAAATAATACTGATGTCAGTGTGGTACCCAGTGATAGTTTGGGCAGTACCGGTCTTGAAAATTACTCCCCCCTCCCAGTTGCTCTAATTATTTTTTAAATTAACAATTATGTATTTAAAAGGGCCCTACTGTAAATAAATCTTTAAAAGCGGTTTGTTTTACTCAATTGTCACAAGACATTTTTAAATATTTAAAATATGTATTTTAACATCTTAAACACGCCTTGTGCTCCTACTTAAATTCAATTCTTTTTAAGAAGCATACTGTTTAGTACGCATTTTACAAATGAAATGGCAAACTCAACAACTTGTTTAAACAAAAAAAAATTTTTTTTTAAGAAGTTGTTTGATGAGACCACTAGTCGTTTTTGTTGTTGTTTTTTTGTTTAAGTGGTGCCAAATTGGATTTACTTTAGACATTTAAACATTTTTAGGCAACAAAATTCACAACAACATGTTTATTTTCCTAAACAATCATCACACACACAAAAAAGTATATAATCAAATTACACCAAAAAGAATTAATAATAATAATAACAAAACAATAATGTGTATACATATTTAATGTTTACACTTATTTAATGATAATAAAAATTAAAATAACAATGATAAACAATGATGATAAAATAAATAAGTAAACAGTTTAAACAAATTATAATAATAAAAAAAAGCATTTGTTTTACCATTTTTGATTCATTTGAAATAGCAAATAAAATAAAGTTTTAAAACATCGAGGTGGGAAGTTTTTTGCCAAGTAAACTGTAAATGTAGGAGTTAAATGTAAACTCTGCATTTTTTTTGCAGAGTTTACACTTTGCCCTCAGTATACATTAACTTAAGCATCACTGATGCTTAACTTTAAGTTAAAACCTCTGCTAAAAATAGAGTTATTATTGGATATAGTTGAACAAAAACCCACAAAATATAAAGGGTTTTAGGTTATTCATGAACTATAAAATAGTTAAAAAGTGTTTCGGAAACAAAAGCCATATCCATTTTTTTAAGTTTTAGAAAATTCAACTTTTGACCCATGCAGTAATACTTAAAAACTTTTTCATCTCGTATAAAAAATAGAGTGGATATTTAAATATTATTAAAAACTTTAAGAACTTAAAGCAATATGTACTTTAAAAAAAATTTAGCATTTCACAAAATATTACTAATGGTCCGTAAAAATTCAAGTTAAATTTTAAAATCAACAAATAAATTTTTTTTATTGCTTGATTTTAAAACTAACATGCACTTTTAGGGACCATTAGTAACATTTTAGAAATGCTGAACATTTCTTATAAAGTATGTATTAGTATAAGTTCCTAAAGTTTTTAATAATATTTAAATATCTACTCTATTTTTTCTAGATGCTTTTCTACTTCAATTAAAACTTGGGATTACTTATGTTGTTTGAACAAAGAATGAATTATAAAAGATATAAGTGCGTTATAAAAGTAATAACACAATTGTATTTATTACTTTTATAATACAGTTAGTTATTAGAGTGTTATTGCTTCGTAAGTTTATTGTTTTGTTTTTTGTTAACAAATTTAAGATGATTCGCTCCATGAAAACAAAGGTCTTGCATAAACTAAAATTTTGAAGACCAGATATTTTTCCAGTTATTGCAACTCGCCATCGCTTAAATCAACCCTTGCCTTTAACAGATTTATAAAAGTTAAAACAAAATAATTTTTTTTAATTGTGTTACTTAGGAACAATTTTTATACCTCTTTAAGTTCCTCGTCTTTATAAACTCTTGTTAAAAACCTTCGAAGGAATACCATAATCATAATAGCGAATGGAAAAAGTGGAGCCACTGGGCTTAACTTGATGCCAAAAAGCACACATAGACAAAAAACTTGTATGAAAGTATATGTGACCATGCTACGGAATCTCACCTATAAATATAAAAAAATTTGTTTGGATTAAATTTCTATTTCATTCTAACTTTAATGTTTACCAAATTATATATTTTTTGTTAAGTTTAGTTAAAATGAAAGTAAAAAAAAAATATGTTTTTAATGGAAACATAAAAATAAAATAAATACAGTTAAGTAAAATACTTAAACAACTTTTTAAGTGAAAAATTGTAAAATACTTTTTTAACTTTTCACATAGATTCAATCATTTCTTATAAATTTCACTTGTCAACCAGATTTTTTTTCACTTGTTATATTTTAACCCTCTAACGCAAAACAGAAGCATTGACAAATAAAACCCTATAACCGCAAAACAGAAGCATTAATAAATAAAACCCTATAACTGCAAAACAGAAGCATTGAAGAATAAAACCCTCTAACCACAAAACAGAGGCATTGACAAATAAAACCCTCTAACCAGAAAACAGAAGCATTGACAAATAAGGCACTACACAGAAAAAGAACTTAAAAAATATACTCATTATAAACCTCATTTATAGCTAAAAATATTCCATTAACACAAACTTTGCTTGGTTGTTAAAATTCTCTATCTAAATATTAATACTCCAGTTTAACATTTAATGCGCTCAATTACTATTTAATGTGCTTAGTTACAATAGTTATAACAAATGTACTTACGCTAAAATAGAATCTGCTAATGTCTTATTGACTATTTAAGAAAAGTCTAACTTACTGCACTTAGTTATAACGATTAAGATTTGTTCGGCAGTTACTGACATTAAATTTAACAGTTTAAGTGTGAACAAATCAGATATATATAACTTTAAAATCAATGAAATGAAACTATTTATGCTTAAAATTATGTGCAAACATCTTAGGAGGTTAAACAATGCCCGATACTACTTAACAGGGATAACAGGGTAAACGTTGCATCAAATAATTGGAGACCATTATTTAAGAAAATGATAAAAAAACAATTTTTATTGAGCTCATCTTGTATTGACTTCTTTATGATTTTTAATATTTTATTTTGTAATGGTTTTTAAGTAGGTATTTTATGTATGATGAGGGTCTATACAAATTAGGCCGAAATATTACATAAAAGAAAAATTAGTATGTTGTTTTTGATGTTTTATAACTTATTATAACATTACATACTACAAAAAATGTCTCTAAAAACTTAAAAATAATATATTACTTTAAAAATTATTTTGAATATTATTATGAAATTTATTATAAAAATTTTATTTTCATTTTTAATTTTTTAAGTTTTATTTTTTTGTATCTAAATATTATTTGTATTTTTAAATTTAATTATAACTTAAAATTATTTTTTAATAGATAAATTGTTTGTAAGCTATTAATTTAATGTGCTTAGTTACTGTTTAATGAGTCAAAACCTTTAAACATAAAACAGGTTCATCATCAAAAAAATTTCTACAAAGGTAAGTCATGTTGGCTCTCAAAACAAACAAATTATATTAAAATTAAAAAAAAAAAATTATATTTTATAAAAACATCTCCAAAAAAAAAAAATTTTTAAGAACCATTAAAATTTATGTTAAACCTAAATAATTAATCAATAAGAAATAAACTTGTCATTTTAGTCAAAGCTTACCTTCTTTATTGAAAATAGATAAAATAACAATAGAGTAAAATAAATATTCTATTCTTTTTATTTTTGTCCTCAAGGTCCTCAAGGCTGAGAAGGCCACTACAGTTGATGAGGCTACATTATCGTGGTTACAACCCTCTCTCAAACTCTTTAACTTCACAATAAGAACCTTGACAAATAAGGCTGCTGTGCAGAGAAACAAGTTGAGTGCAGTTCTACCAGGAATGTGGTAGGGATCAAACTTGGAACTTCTTGCTTATGAAATAAGCCCTATACCACTACTGCATGATTAAATTGATCTAGGAGTATGTTATCTGTATCTCAGAGTCTTTATAATATACACTGCAATCTGCAAAATTGATCATTTATTTCAACCTTGTTTAATTCATAAGAGTTTCAGTATATGAAGCTATTGTTGAAATTTTTTTAATATATCAAATTATTTTTTTGACCCAAAATCAGCAAATCATATTTATTTGTATAACTTTTCAATAAACCTCAAAAAATATTTTTCATAAAATTAATAATACAATAATATATTTGGTTTAAAATTTTATCAACAGAATTGATTTTAACAATCTAAATAATTTTTAATTAAATGGCTGTTGAAAAAAAGTTATCATTTTTAAATTAATATTTTGTTTTTAAAGATTTTTATACAAGCATCATACTGTTTATAGAATATTTTAGGTGACCAACATCTTTTTTCACAAATCTAAGATTTGTGCAAGATAAAAAAAACAAATTATTATTTAAAAATTATATACAAATCATTTTGTCCAACCCATATTTTGTGTGCATTACTATTTTTTAATTTTTTTAGGCGTTCCAAAATTATTAGTCAATTCAGTATAGAATAAAAACTTTATTTTTTGAACTATAAGTTTTATATATAAAAGTCTGTTTTCATATTTCATTTTTTTTAAAGTTTTTTTTGTCGCTCTTTTTTTAACTTTTTCCAAATGAGATATATCTTGCTGTTGGTTAGGATTCCAAACTGAGACATCATAGTCTAAATGTGGTCTTACAAGTGATGTATATAATACTTTCATAGCGCAGACATCCAAATTTCTAAAAGCTTTATTAACCATTCCTAAAATCTGGTTTGCATTATTTGCAGCTTTTATGACTTGATTGTGCCATTTTAGTTTATTTGTAACAATAATACCCAGATCTTTTTCTATTTCTGTTTTTTTTGTAGTACTATATTTTCATTATTATTATTCATTTTTATCATGTAATATTTGAATTTTTTGTTTTTTACTACAAAGTGCATAACTTTGCATTTTTTTTTCATTGAAAACCACAGGTCTGCCCATTATTGCATAAATATAATATCATCTTAAAGCTTTGATCTTTCTGATTCGTTGTTTATTGAAGCAATTAATTTGCTATCATCAGCATATAGTTTTAATGGAAATTTTAGTGTGTCTTGTAAGTCATTAATATATATATATATAACAAATAGAATAGGTCATAAAACTGAACCTTGAGGGACACCGCTTAAGACTTCTCTCCACTCGGAGGTATGCTGACCCAAAACCACTCTTTGTCTTCTATTAGATGAGAAACTGTGAAACCATTTAACCAATTTTTTTGAAAAGCCATATTTTTTTATCTTGTGCATTAATTTTAGGTGTGAAACTTTATCAAAAGCTTTTGCTAAGTCAAAATATACAACATCTACTGAAGCCTTATTGTTTAGATAGTTTGTTATTTCATCAATTGTTTCAAGTAAGTTGGTTATACATGATTTAGAAGGTGCAAAACCATGTTGATTTTTATTTATTAGATTGTTTTGTAGTAGATGATACATTATTTTATCTCGAATTATTTTTCCAAACATTCTACAAACAACTGACGTAATAAATATTAGCCGATAATTTGATGGATCTAATTTACTACCTCCTTTAAAATCGGTGTTACATTTGCTAGTTTCCATTCTTCAGGAACTATTGCATCACTATAACTTTTTGAGAAAATTAAAGATAGTGGATATGACAGCTACGCTGCATTTCTTTAAGATTAATGGATGAATTTTATCAGGTCAAATCGATTTATTTTCGTTTAACTTTTTTAAGTATTTTGCTATTATTATAGGAGAGAAGTCTTAATTATTTAGGTCGCAGATTATAGATGATCTTAGTTTAAAATATGGTAACACAACAGGGATTTTTTCTCGGACGAACACAGAATGAAAATGTAAACCCATAATATTTGATATTTTACTTTCGTCCTCATGCAATTGTCCATTCTAATCTCAATTTAATTTCTTGTTGGGCTGATTTATTTTTATTAACGTAAGAATAGAATAGTTTAGGATTTGTTTTACATTTTTTTGCTATATTAGATTCCTATTCATTAACTGCTATATCAATTAGTTCTTTACACTTTTTATGTTGAAATATAATTCAATATTAATTCATTTAAAAAAATGTTTAACCAACATAAAACTAAAAAAAAAAATACATACCAATGCAAACGACACACTAAAACATATAACAACATGAACTATACACTACAATGCCCAATGAACAATACACAAGAATACAAAAACAAAAAACAACAACAAGAAAAACAAATATCCCTCAAAATTAATGAAATTTTAAAATTATTATTTCTCTAGTTGTAAATCCTGTTATATAGGCAAAACTATGTATGTATGTATGTATGTATGTATGTATGTATGTATGTATGTATGTATGTATGTATGTATGTATGTATGTATGTATGTATGTATGTATGTATGTGTATATATATATATATACATATATATATATATATATATATATATATATATATATATATATATATATATATATATATATATATATATATATATATATATATATATATATATATATATATATATATACACACACACACACATATATATATATATATATGTATATTGTTATTATTATAGTTGAGCATATTTAAATATTGAGAATATTTAAATATTGGCAAAAATAAAAAATAAAAAAACTCACCATTCGAAGATATTTCTTGTTAGGATGATACTTCATTGGTACAAAAATCAGTTTTATTTGCTCAACAAACTGTATACCTGATAGTGAAGCAATGCCTAGATACATAAATACTCCAAAACAAACAGCCAATGGAATCTTGGAAATTAAATATTCTGCAAAAATGCAGCAACCTAAATCATTAAAAAAATTTCAAACTACTTGATCAAAAGATATGCAGATATAGATGTACAATTTTGTGAGACCAAATTTATATAACGCTGATCAATTATCAGCTTTGTATAAGTTAGCTTCTGATATTATTATAAACTATTTGATTGGTTAAAAATTTATATATATATATATATATATATATATATATATATATATATATATATATATATATATATATATGTAGATACAAATAGTATTGCGTACTAAGGTAAGTAATCTGACGTCATACTGAAATAGCCTGCTGCTGGGGGCTTCAGTACATACATCGAGTGACAAATAGCCTGACTCGCAGTGGAGTGCTGCTACATCGACTGAGGGTTTGTGATGGGGAAGCAATTATTTTATATATGTATATATATATACATATATATATACATATATATATATATATATATATATATATATATATATATATATATATTATATATATATATATATTTTTTTTTTTTTTTTTTTTTTTTTGTGAGAAAGAGGGGAGGAAAAAAGTGAAAAAGTTATGAAAACACATACTAAACTTCAAAATTCTTTTTTTATAACTTTTTAAAAATACTTTTAAGCAAAAAAGTTTTTAATTAAAAAAAATCATTTTATCATACCATAGCATGGTTTTAAAGTTGTAAGGGTTGTATAAAGGTGTTTTGACGCTTATTTACAGTCTTGTTGTGTAGTGTTAAAAATCATATCGTATACCTATAATTAAGAACTTTGATAATGTTATATTGCATTTTTTGAACATAGCATACATGGTTGTTAATAATCATTTATACTTAGTTTCTTAAATCATTGATTGCATTGTTTTATTTGCTCTTTTTAAGCATTTGATTTTTTGTTACAACCTACACAGCAAAAAAAACATAAAAATGCTTGCAAAACTTCAAGTAAAAACTATGAAACTCAGCATATGATAACATCAATATGTGCTAAATACACACACCAAATGATTTTTTTTTAAACCATGCTGCATTAAGTCTGACAAAGATAGTTTGTTCAGAAGTGGTAAAAAGTAAGCGTTATGACCATCACACTACGTAGAGTTAATTTTTGAAAAAAGTTGAAGACTTCAATACTGTAACTTTTACATACTAAATTATATGATAGTAATTCACATTTCTGGAAAGTGTGTGTATATATATATATATATATATATATATATATATATATATATATATATATATATATATATATATATATATATATATATATATATAGACACACACACACACACAGACACACACGAACACACACATATATATTTCTACATGTCCACCAAAGACAATGTTAAAATAGGAAATACATCTAAACAAACCATGCAGGATTACATTGGATTATCTCCAATATAATCCTAAAAACATACATGGTAAAAACAGCTCTGAGTATAAAAGAGCTAAAGGAAGTAAATCTTTTACCAGATAAATGAATTAAAAAAAAACATTAGGTGCTTGAAATCATGTTTTATAACCAAAATAGACTTTCTCAAAAGACAGGCTGCTAGCAGACTTGGATGTTGCAAAACCTGATTAATTACTTGTTAAAAAAAAAAAAAGAATTCATTGCTATAAAATTAGAAAAATTATGTTAAATCAGCAATAAAAATTTTACCAAAATCTGATTTTCTCTCTGATTTGCAAGAAAGATATTGATGATATTATACACAGATGATAAGTATTATACACAGATGATAAGTATTATACACAGATGATAAGTATTATACACAGATGATAAGTATTATACACAGATGATAAGTATTATACACAGATGATAAGTATTATACACAGATGATAAGTATTATACACAGATGATAAGTATTATACACAGATGATAAGTATTATACACAGATGATAAGTATTATACACAGATGATAAGTATTATACACAGATGATAAGTATTATACACAGATGATAAGTATTATACACAGGGCAATCAATGGCAACAGTATTTTCTACTAAAGCAACATTAAAAAAATTCATAACCAGGTAAAATATAGAAAAACTGCTTTCAGAAAATCATAAATTATCCAGGTCATATTTTAAAAATCTGGAAAATTAATTGGGTAAAATATTCGGAATATATTTTCCTCTTAAATTTGCTTTTAGCTGAGTTGTTTCAAATGCTGCAAATGTGCAATAAATATTTATATACATATAAACTTTCAGCTTAAGACAAATATATCAAGAAAATATGTAAAAAATAATAATGTATTTTTAAGGTTTAGAGTTTGCAGTTAGATATCGGATCAAAATTCATTTTATATAAACCATTCAATAAGGATAAAACAATAAAGGATTCGCCGTAGCTAGCTCCAAGAATCCACTCTTCTTTTTTTAATGGTTTTTTACAAGAACTCTTTATTTGAAGTAGTTTCTGAAGCTTATCCAAGCTCATCACATGCTCTACATTATCTTGAACAATTTTACTATAAGCTCAGCAAAATTGAATTTTTTTTTACAAAATATTTTTCTCAAAACAAAAATCACGTTTCTTGTTTTAAGAAACAAATATCCTACCCTGCAATTTTTTTTTTAAAACAAGAAATATATTTCTTGTTTTGAGAAATAAGTTTATTAGACTATGCTTAATAGAATTATAATTTTGCTGTGAGTTCTGATGAGTTGTTAGCAACTTTGAAAGATTTTAAAAGTTTTGGAATTCATTGTACCCAAAAAGTCTGAGGGAATCTCATCTGTGGGCATTTTTTCAAACTATGACTTATCATTTTATTACAAACTATGAATATCAAAAATTAACCAGTAGTCTGGTGATATATACAACTCAAAACCTAGTGGCTGGTCTTTATTAACAAAAACTGCTTTCAGAAGGATTTCAGCTCTGATTCTATCTGTTTTTACACCTTTTCGGATCTCCCTTTATTTTACAGAACTTTTTACCATTTTTATATTGTGATCTCGGTCAGAAGATGCTAATGCCAGTACCAAACACTTCTAAGGCTTTACCATGATTTGAATTTCACTTCTGCAGCAGGCTCAATATACATCTGCCAAATAGTCTTGTTGATCTTAAAAATTTAAATTAAAAATAATGCAATGTAGATAAAATAAGATTTAAAACAACATTGCTAAATACTTATTACATTTATTTTTAACAAGGTAAAATCAAAGTTTCAAATTTCTATTGATTTCGTTTTTATTTTATTTCTACTGATTTCAAGAAAAATCTGTCGTTAGAAAAAAAAAATGCTTTAGAGTTATTTTCTTTGTATTTTACATCTGATTTTAAACCATTTTGCAAACCATTGTTTTTAAACAACTTGTTACTTTATGACACAAACTATTCTTAAATAATAAGACTAAAATATCAAAACTTATAAAATTAAGTTTTACTTTAAGAATTGCAGAATCAGAAAAGTTGCAGGTCAAAAACCACGATTCCCTGAAGAGAGAAATTTAGTCAGCCATTCTGTTGATCTTTTTGAGTATTTTATTACTCAGAATAAAAACCTGCCTGATTTTAGAGAAATGAAACTTGAATTTCATGAAATTCAAGACATGTGAAACATTTTTTAACCTTTTATGGTTTTATGATATAAATATGTATATGATGTAATGATGATATGTAAAGTTGATTCTCCAGCTTAACAGTTTTATTTACGGCTACGGCTATATGAAGCTCTCTGACATGATGGCAGGAGGTTAACAAGAATAATGGTCGGCCAGGAAACTTAGCTAATCTTGTACAAACTTCTTTTAAATAGCAAGGGGTTGAAATGGGTGAACTGTATGAGATCAAAAACATCTAACAAATTTCTAATTGCTGTGTATTGGGCCTCAACGCTATCGTGTTTAAAAAACCATGTTTTTTTAATTTCATAATGAATTTATGGGTTTTTAAAATATCACCAGTTAACAAATATAATAGTAATAAAAATGAGTACAATCGATATAGATAAAAGACCTTCCATTACTTCTAATGAGGTTATTATATAGTTAATGATTTGTAAATTTCTATTTGCGCAGATTGTTTAAAAATGCCTGTAAAAACTCAAAAAATGTAAAAATTTTTAACTATCAAAAAGTGGCGTGAATATAAATAGTCATCTAAAATAAAAAATAAAAAAATTTCATTAAAAAAAAAATACCTTGGGAATATTTTACGACACACCGCGTATTAAAATTTGTTTATGAGGGTAAAAATGAGATGGGCTATACATACATACAAGCCTTCCCAGGAAAGGCGTGCGGTTTTTTGTCTCGTACGACCACGAAAACGTTTTTCAAGTTAGAGAAGGCGATCACGGCCGTTTGCGCAAGTTTTATTATATGCGTTGCTGAAAAATTGTTTTAAATTTAATAACTGCTTAAGAAATTAAAGTGAACTTAAATAGAAAACATTAATAATAGTTTAAATAATTTGCTTGATGTTTTTTGATTTTTGTTTTTTCTTAGTGGTTATTATTATCGACAAAAAAATTCATTAAGTCAAGGCAAAAAAAAAAAACAACTGTTTTAGGCATTAAAAATGATGACTTTCCCATATTTAATGTGTATTTTCTTTTAAAGAGGAAAGAGAAAATATGTATCATCATCTGTTTGTAAAATATATTTGTATAATTATAATGTAACAAGTTTATATCAAGAGTTTACGATCAAAATTATACGATCACAATTTGCAATCTCTGGTCTTTTATATTAGGTCTTTAAAGTTTTAGTTTATGTACTTTGTTAATAAGGAGCAAATTATTAAAAGTTTGCTAGCGACAAAGTTACAAAAAACAAAACAAAAACAATAAACTTATGACTACAAAAGTAATAACACTTTAGTCACTAACTGCATTATAAAAGTAATAAAACTATAATAGTGTTATTACATTTATAAAGCACTTATTACTTTTAAAGTTCATTCTTTGTTCAAACAACATTATTAATTCCAAACATTTATTAAAGTAGAAAAGCATCTAGAAAAAATAAAGCGGATATTCAAATATTATTAAAAATTTCAGGAACTTTCACATATCATTTAAACAACGTTATAAAAAAGTACTTTATAAAAAGTATAGCATTATGAAAAACATTACGTAAAAACGAACGTTAATTTTAAAACCAACTAATAAAATTTTTTTATTGGTTAATTTTAAAATTAATGCGCGTTTTTACGGATTGTTAGTAACATTTTTCATAATGCTAAACTTTTAGTACGATACGTTTTCATAAAGTTACGTAAAAACGCGCATCAATTTTAAAATCAACCAATAAAAAATTAACGCGCGTTTTTACGGTCCATTAGTAACGTTTTTCATAATGCTAAACTTTTAATGCGATACGTTTTCATAAAGTTGTTTGTCACGTTTTTATAAGTTACTTTAGTTTTAATATTATTTAAACATCTACTTTATTCTTTTAGATATTTTTCTACTTCAATTAAAATTTGGGAATAATAATGTTGCTTGAACAAAGAATAAATTTATAAAGTTATTAAAAGTTATTAAAAGTTATAAGTGCGTTATAAAAGTAATAACACTATTATAGTGTTATTACTTTTGTAATGCAGTTAGTGACTAGAGTGATATTACTTTATTGTTTTATTTTTTTGCTAACAAATTTAAGTTGATTCTCCCCTTAAAAGTAAGGAACACGGTTTTGTATAAACTAAAATTTTGAATACTAGATACTCTTATAACTTGCAAACGGCTGTGTTCACGTTTTCTAAAATAGTGTAATCGCGTGTGGTCATAGGAGAAAAAAAACCGCACGCCTTTCCTGGGAAGGCTTGTACATACATACAAACATATATATATATTTATTTATTTTAAGACAACTCATTTAAATCTCTCTTTGCACATGTTTTTCTATTAAAATTTTTTCAATAAAACAGCAAGAGAATCAAATGATAAGTAGTACAAAAAAATTGCGTAGAATATTATAATTAATAGGAATTAAAAGAAAAGTTAAAAAACAAAAATTTACCTATTATCACATGAATACATAGATTTGTTAGGCGCTGTTCCTTTATTTGTAATAAATATGGTTTTTCACCAGGAGCATGGGTTCTACTAAGAATTGCAAGTGCATTTTGGTGTTGAATAGACATTACTGAACCAGCACACATCCATGGCAACCCAAGAATAGAACATAATCCAGTTAATCCACCCATGATAAAAATATCTAAGTTATATCCACCGCTCTTACGAAGCTTATTTTTTCGTTTATTTAATAATACACCTGTTAGTTCAGTTTCCATGAACAATAAAATGCTAACGCAAATAGCAGGTACAACTGCAAAAGCTATCCATCCAACTTTAATATCAGAGCCTACAGGATTGACAAAAAACGCTGTTCTGTTTTTTGACGTTGGTTTAATAGAACTGGACATTTTTATTTTTGGAATTTCCACATCTTTAATAAAACTGTTCAAAACTACCATGAGGATCATTGCTATAGGAACACCAAAATCACTCAAAACTCTACGAGAATTGCTGGAAAAAAAGTGACTATTGCGCAATTGACGTAATTTTTGTGCTATAAATAATGTTCCAATTACAAGTAACAAAGAGATTAGTCCAATATTCAGCTCACTATCACCAGTTTTTATTGAACAAAAAGTTTCATTATAAAAAGAAACATTTTTAGCAACATCTATTTTTTTTTCTTTAAAAGTCTAAAATAAAAAAATAAATAATTTTAGTGGGTGTTTATGTCTTAAACAAATAACATTAGTTTAAATTGCACACATGAGACTAAAATTTTAAAATGTTTGAAAAAATGAATCATAAAAAATAGTTTTAAGAAAACTTATTTTGATCAATTATCTCAAATGCTTATTTTGAAGAGTTATATGTCTGATCAAAGTAAATTCTCTCATAACATTTATTTTGCCACTTAATTTTAATAACGTATCTATATATGACTTAAATAATTTTTTAAAAGATTTTCTCAAAACATTTATTATGTGACTTGTGAATTTATATATAATATAACTGTATGTAAGTGCGGTAGTGGTAGAGCGCTTGCTTCGTAAATGAGTGGTTCAGGGTTTGATCCCCACCATGTCCCTGGTAGTACCACGCATAACTCGTTTCTCCGCGCAGCGGCCTTGTTTGTCAAGGTTCGTGTTTCGGAGTTATAGAGTTGAGAGAGGGTTATAGCCACAAAATAAGTAGCCTTCTCGTCTGTAGTGGCCTTCTCGGCCTTGAGGTGAATTAAAATTTAAAAAAAAAAAAAATGACAACTTTTTAAAACTTTTTTAAGTTTAGCTATTAATATTAGAGTGTTTGAAAAAATTAAAAATTATCAAATTTATACATTTATGCGACCGTGTTTAAATACTTATGCTTGTTTGTTTAAACTCGTGTACATATATACTTTTAAACATTTTTGTATGTATGTTAAATTATTTGGACAAGTTTTAATAAATATTTCTGTCAAGAGTCAAAAAAAGAGTAATTTATAGAAAAAATAATTAAATTCAGGTTTGATTGAAGCTTCTAAGAAAATACTAATTGAGACTTGAATTCAAACAACAAAATAGTCAAACTTACATCAAAAATAAAACTGAATGCTTCATATAAAAAAAGCAACGAAATAAGAACGCTAAAAACTTCTTCAGTAAATCTTGTAAAATATTCGACAAGGAAGCAACCTTCTAGTGCTACCACTACCCAGAGAATGACCATTACCATTAAACCAATATATAAACGCCATATTAAAAAGTCAAGGTGAAAGTACTGACACAGCTAAATAACAAATGAATAAAAATCATAGTAATATAAATGATAAATAATTGAAACTATTATTATAATTAACATCATCATCATCATCATCATCATCATCATCATCATCATCATCATCATCATCATCATCATCATCATCATCATCATCATCATCATCATCATCATCATCATCATCATCATCATCATCATCATCATCATCATCATCATCATCATCATCATCATCATCATCATCATCATCATCATCATCATCATCATTATTATTATTATTTTTATAACTACTATTATTGTTATTATTATAGTTGTTAATAACATTAATAGAATTACAATTATTATCAATAATAATAAAATAATATATAAGTTAATACAATATAATATAATTTTTTTATAATTCAGCTTTTAATTTTAAAAATATATAGTTATAACAAATTATATGTAACAACAATAATAATCATTAAAAGCCATTTTCCTCAACAATTATAGATATTCATACCATATAAGTTGCTTGCTCAAATACGAGAATTGGACCAGTGGCGCCAATGATTATGAGGGGTTGTCCTGCAAATAAACTGAATATTATTCCACACAAACCTGTTGCTATAAGAGTTTCCATAACACCAAGATTATCTTCTGTTTTTTTTCCTAACAATGCTCCGAATGTAATTGTTGGAGCAAGTGTTGCAAAGAATACAAATATAATAGTGACCAGACATCGAATGTTCAAGCCATCTGAAAAGTCAGAGCGGTAAAATTGAGCCTTTTTAAAAAAATCTCTTTTTAATCCACCAAACCAACTTGATGTTCTCAAAAAAAGATCCTCATCATGCTTATATGTACCTGAACAATATTTATTATACTTAAATAATTTAATTTAAGAACTTTTAATTGCATATATATATATATATATATATATATATATATATATATATATATATATATATATATATATCACTCCCTCTTATTTGGTAATGTTTAGTAAGAAAAGTATAAATTTAAATTTTTTTTTGCAAACTTAACAGCTGCAAAAAGGTTATAGGAAGTGGTCCCCCCGACCTGCTTTGTAAGACCTTTAGAACCTCGCTGTTGTCTATAACGACGTATTTCTGAAATGTATAAAGTCAACTAGTGTTAGTGTTACATGCAGTTAGTGTTACATCAGTTTTACTTATTAAGTTAAAAAAAATTATAAGAATGTATGAAGCAGTAACCCATTCCCAGACCCAATCTAGGGAGCCATGACACATAACTGCTTTTTAAGCCCTTTTGAAACCCGTTTTTGAATAAAATGACATATTTCTGAAAAGTATTAAAACTGACTATTGTCAGTGTTACATACATTAATTTTACTGATTAGGGTAAAGACAACTATATTAATGTATATAGCAAGTGGTAACTTGGGGTTGTGGTGATGGTGGGGAATGGGGTGTTTCAGCAAGAAAAAATTTATTCTAAATATCAAAAAAAGCTGCTTTTTTTTTTTTAAACATTTCTTTAATTTTTTAAACTGTCGTTTTTGGGAAGATGGTTAACTGTCTATTGAAAAAAATTGGTTAACTGTCTATTGAAAAATCTTCAGTTTTATGTTTCTTATGGTACTCAACTACTTGGTAGAGCAGCTGACGCTGAGTGTCATTTTTTGTCAAAACATCATCAAGTCAATGGCCAATTCAACTGCTTGTTGCGCACTGTCATTAACCACTTTAATGGCAACTATCTTACATACAGCCTTGTAGTCGTCACAAATAGCCCAAGTTTCTGGAGACAATGTCAAGAATTCTTTTGGTAGATTAGGAGAGTTGAACAAATTCATTGAGCATCATGCAACAAAATTAGCTATAGAGAGTTTAGAGAAAATATAAATCTTGTTTGGAGCAAGTCTTCTCCATATATTGATATTTTCATATAGTGAATATAGTCATATTCTCCATATAGTGATATTTTCTCTTGTCACCTAGTAAAAGTTTTTTTTGTTTTCTTCAACAGAATTTTTTTTACTAATATATAGTAGTACAGCTAGATCTTCACTTGAATTGAGTACCATAACTGAAGTTTAATTTTATTTTTTGCAACATTTGCAACTTTAATATCAACTTGACAATATTTCTTCAATAGATTAATTTTAAAAGAAGGAGAACATTTTTTGGTGCTTCTGTTGTAAGAGGAGCTGAAAGCCTGACGCATATATATTGTGGTTATGAAGAGACCTATTCTTCTTAAAATCCTAATTTCTTTCTCTGTGATATTCAACTGATGACGAAAACCAAAAATTTTTGAATAGTATATACCTTTAGTTATCCATCTTGCAAAATGGTAAGCCCCAGGAATGCAAATACTTGTCGTACCATTATCTTCTCCTAAAAGGAGAATTGCTTATCTTGCTAATTCTTTATAATCATCCCAAGGTTGACTTCTTCAAGTACTCTTAATTTTTATTACATAGGATTTCTGATATAAATTCTTTTTCATGCTTTCTTTTCAAGTTCCACTTTTATCACAGTTTGAACCTAAAAGTTTAATGTTCGGTCCTTTTGATACAAAAAATGTATTTGCACAGTTTTCATACTTGCATACTTTTCATACTACATTTGCGCAGATTTCAAGAATATGATATTGGTAAGCTGAAAACAAAATTTTTCGATTCATTGATTTTTGTTGATGACAGTTGTTGCCCCATTATGACTTGCTGTATTACTTGCCCTTGAGTCAAAGCAAAAAGCTGCAAGGTGCTCCTCAACGCCAGGCAACTTATGAATGAACTCAACTACGTTCTGTTCCATCAAAGCAGCAGTACCAGCAGGAATCTTAAGGATACCTAACAATTTTTCAATGTCTAGGTCAGATAAAACAATCGGCAGACATTCATGTCTGGGTCCATCAAAAATGACAAAAACTAGAGAAATCAATGGTTGAAAACCATTTCTTACTGCTATTGCAAGAGATTCATGGGGATGGAATGTAGTATGAGCTTCAATTAAAGAGGTACAAGAAAATGTTAATTAACATTTTCTTGTACCTTTTTAATTGATGTAAATTAATTATTTTACATCAATAACAACTTCAGCTAAGGCTGGTGTGATGAACAACATCCCTTGTCGTAGTGTCGTTTTTATTTGGTCTAATACTGCATTAAATAGTTGGTAGTCAGGAATACAACATTTGGATACTGTAACTGATAGTTGACTAAAAAAGAATATTGTGAAAGTTTTGGTGAAGTGAAGACTTTTTATGTTTGAATTGATATGTCACAGTTAGAATTTTCATTCGGGGAGCAATATGAATTGTAATCAGTTAATGGTTTTGAGATAAAACTTTATTTTTTTATGTTTCAAGCTTGCATTTCCTATATTTAACAACTTATATATTAAGCCTTTGGATGTCATTGACATCTTTTGGGGAATTTGCTGGTCTATCAGAAACTCTTTATCTTTATTTATCTTGATGCGAAAATCCCATCATGGAAAAATCACCATGAGCAATGTCAAAAATTGCATTCATCTTGGCAGTGAATTTTTTCTCATAGCTATGTTGAGCAGCAGATTTTCAACATTAGTGCTAACACATTTTAACATGCTGTTAGTGAATACTTTTTATTTAAGCAACTACACAAAGATTTGCTATTGTAGGAACATTAGCCTTCAACCAGAAAATCATAACATCATTTGCAACTGTGTTGCAGAGTGTAGAAATTGTTGACTTTTTGTCAATCATTTTATAGAAAACTTAGCGTAGAGCAATACCAGTTTGCTTTTTAGGGTTCCGAAAGAGGAGTTGGGGGATTAAAAATTCCTCAACCCCACTTTCGGAACCCTAAAAAGTTATAATTAAAAAGTATATAGGTAAAACTTTTTTTAGAAAATTTTACCTATATACGTTTTTATCATAACTCACCAAATTTCTTGAGCAATGGAATAGCAATAAATGTGAAAATATTTTTAAGAAAAATGTTTTTTAATCTTGACATGTTTTTTAGTTTACATATTACATTTTGAAAAAATAAAATTACAATTTAAAGCTCTGATATAAAATTAAAATTTGATTACCAGGGGGTGAGGAGTCGTAAAAAAAAGTAACGACTCCGACTCTGACTCCAGTTGTTAAAATTTTTTGAGTACAACTCTGACTCCGACTCCAACTTCAAAGCAAAATTTTTGAAAAATTCTTTAAATTCTTTAAAAAATATTGCCCGGTAAGTTGAAATTTTTTTTTTGACAAATTTATGAAACATTCTTTGAGGTTTAGTATGAACATAAGGTTAATTAAATGTTTTGTACATGCACGTGCAATACCAAGAAATTTTACTATCGGAGTTGGAGTCGCGATATTTTTTAGTGACTCCGACTCCAACTCCGGTAAAATTGTCGCAACTCTGCAACTCCGACTCCACAGCCCTGAACATTACAGAGAAATATTACCAGACAAATAGAATTGTAACAAACAAATAAAAATTATAATACAAATTGATACTGTGATATAACTACTGTATATAAATGATACAGTAAATAGCATAAAAATAATAAGTAAATAAAACAAACAATATTGACAAAATTATATTATAATGAGCATTTAAAGATGGATTTTCCCATTTAATGTAGAGATCTTTAATTTTCAATTTGTTTTTGTCAGGTATTTAAAATTTTAAAACAATTATAGTTACTTAGATTTTACAATTAACAGATGAAATTAAATGCTTATAAACATTAGATTGTCACTTGTAAGGTGCTCATAAATAACTTTTGTAAAGTGTCTGGAGGTTTCTCCAATATAACTGTGATTACATCCAGCACAAGAAAATTTGTAAACAACATTGGATTTGAGCAGCTTAGCAAGTAGATCTTTTATACAAAAACTATTTTTTTATTTGTTAGTAGTGAAAATTAAATTAATGATGACATCTTTACAATATTTTTAATGATTTTATTAATTTTAGATTTAGCAAAATTTGATTATCAATACTAGGAAATAGAAGGATTATCAATACTATTTATTATAGATGGATTTAACTTTTTATCAACAAATAATTTAATTTCAGTTTTATTTATTTTGGTGGATATTGGTTATTTTTTAAAACAAATTTTTTATGTCCTTATCAAATCCAAGTCATGTGTTGTTATTTTTATGTTCTATCAATCAAACAACACATAAGACTAGTTTTATAACAATAGGGAACAAAACATTATCATTATGATTATATTATCATCATGATAATATTTTGTTTCTTTCACCATTATTTAATACTTCACCATAGTCACAAGAATAGATAGTCTGGAAACACAGTCCGTTATTGATTTTTTTAAACTTTTATGTTGAAAATGTACCTGCAGCCCGCTGAAAATGAAAAAATCATAAAACTTAATATGGAAAATGAAAGTTTGCAAGTGTTTTTTTTTTTTTTTTGTTATTTCACCTCCCCAAGGCCTAGAAGGCCACTACAGACAAGGAGGCTACTTAACTGTGGTTATAACCCTCTCTCAACACTATAACTCCAAAACACGAACCTTGACGAACAAAGACACTGCGCAGAGAAACAAGTTGAGCGCGGTACTACCAGGGACGTGGTGGGGATCGATATAGTGATAGTGGTCTGAAAAGGCATATAAGTTTTAAACACAAGGTTTTCAGTAATGAAATTTGTATTCAAAGTATACAATTTAGAAATCTATTGACAAGTGCAAACTGTCAACAGATGATTATTTTTGTTAACTGAAAAATGGCGTTTACAAGTTGAAACTATTTTTTACAAGAAATGAATGAATTCAAAGACAATGCAGAGAAATTTTATTCTTCACTTCACCAAAAGTACACAGCTGAGCCAGTTGCGATACAAGCAATACCTAAAGAACTATATTATTTATTATTATTAGAATTAATAGCATCAAGTCTAAATTTTATAATAAAAGAACTTAAACTTATTAGTGAAGAATCAAATTTAAATGTGGAAATTAGTCTCTCTGAAAAAGACATAAGATGCTTATAATATATTGCAGGTTATGTATTCCAAATTCTGTACTCTAAGTTAAGAAGTAAACAAGTTAATGATGGTGTAATATCTGAACAATGGCTTAATATTTTATTTCTTTTAAAGACTAAAGAGGAAGAAAAACTTATAGATATTAGAGATAGAGGTGGATTTTGGAAAATGAATAAACTAGTAATAATAATATTTAGTGAATGTGAAAAAAAATTTCGAGTACATGTTAGCAGCAATTTTCGAAAAATTGACAGTAAAGTAATGGTTTCACAATTACTAAATGACTGCTTTATTAAGTCCTTTTTTTATCAGACTTGATATCTTTCTGAAACAGAAATAGACAAAGAAATTGCTAAAATTTTATTGTATCACATAATAATGCTTTTTGTTTGTGTATGTTCACATTCGCATAGTAAATAAATAAAAATTTCAAAAACAAAGCAAAAATAACAAAAGCAGAATCTTTATGATCTTTGAAAAGAGTTAAATAAGATGAAAATGTTTCTGTTGACTAAGAAGTTTTAGTTACACTATCATATTTTTTAGAATCAGTCCAATATTATAAGTCTATGCAGATGTAAAGAAAAACTCTAGTTATGAGAGATGGAAATGCTTTGCCAGCATTAGTATTATAGTCGCAAATGTGTAGTACTTATCAAACAGGTATTTTCATAGCTAGAAATTTAAATAACTACATTATTGGTAAAGAAAAAACATTTAATTTATTTTAATCAATTGTTGTTTTTTCTACTTACATAATAATATAGGATATTTTTCAAAATTTTAAGAGTATAGACTTTTAGTAGCTATTGTTGTTATAAAATATAGGTTTTGGTAAATTAAAAAAAGAAGAGGTTTGATTTTTAAACAAAGTAACATAAAAATTAGAAAGATTCTTATTTGGAATTTTATCAAAGTAATTATAGAGGAGACAATATCCATTAAAAATATCTAATAAAAATAAAAATTCCAATTTATGAAATAAGATTTTACAAAAAAAAAAAGGTGTATCATAAATTATCCATTGTTTTGTATGCTGTCTAACATTTCCACAAAGGGGTTGAATCACAAATTGAGATTTTATAATATTATCATTGTAGCCAGTGTCTTTAAGGTTAGGGTTACAACCTATATCTCTATTACAACCTATAGTTCGCTGCTTACCAAAGCAGTTTTCTAATGCATCTTGACAAATTTTTCAGTTTATTAACTAAGAAAACTCGTTGCCTAATAAGTATTAAACACATTTAACTAAAGAGTTTACAATTCTTAATAAGCCTTCAAATGTTTAATTTGATATGAATATTTTATTGAGCTCTTTTTGAGAGAATTTATTTGACTTTTTTTTTATGCTCTCCCACCAGTCAACAAAATATTTTCAAGTGTTTTTTAGCCAGTAAAATTTTTTATTTGAACTATCAGTATAAGGTTTCAGAAATACTTAACGCTTTTTGGTGTATTGTTTAGTGTTTGTAAAATTGCAGCAGTCAAAAAAATTAGCCATTAACGGCAGAAATATGCTGTCTCAGAAGCTTCATCTGGTCCACATTCAAGCAATGTATTTTAAACAGTAGCACTTAAAATTTGAACAGCTAACTTTACATTCATAAAAGAGTATGTATTTAATACTATATGTTCTCTCATAAGTTTAGGAAAATAATTTATATTACATTGCATATCTTCATAGTAAAAATTAGCTATGTGACTCCACAGCAGATATTTTCCATTATTCCACATATATGTTGAACAACGGTTAGACTTAGAGTTGTTCAAACATATCTTTGATGTTTTGATAAGATGAGGAGGATCAGAAAAGAACCATATATACTGTTCATCGCTTGCATAAATATTTTTTGTGCCATACGTTATACTATTTGCTTTATTTTTATTATTTGCATGCATGTTATAAAATGCATGATTAGGTGATGCTCCATCAGAAGTCACAACAATAATTTTTAATTTACATGTTCTTTCTACTGTTGCAACAGCCTGCTAAAATAATGGAAAAAATCTGGAATGATAATTTACACTATCAGTACCAAAACTTGCAAAAGAGTAAGATAATGGATTCAATACACTTCTAATAAAAAAAACAGATATGTGAAGATAAAGTGTCTATTTTTTCAAAAAGTGCTTGGGTAGGATCATCATCACCAAGATAAAAGATGAAATTTCTCTATTTGAAATAACTGTAAATAATTTTCTGAAGATCCAGGTGGATGTTTTCCTTAACTGATACTGCACTTTTTTCAATGGCTTCTCTAAGTTGAGCAACTTGGTTTTTTAGATATTTATTTTCAGATCTCTTCGATTTTGGAGGATAAAAAGTAAACTTTTATGTGCAGTGTATTTAACAGGAGCTTTAATGCTAGCTGGAGTGTTTAATATTTTCTTTTTTTGCATTAATGCTTTTATTACTATTTATAATTAATAGGTTGCACTCTTTACAAATGGGCAATTGAATTTGTAGAATACTACATGTTGAAAATCTGAAATAGACTGTTTCATTTGTAAGAGTAAAATCATCATCAGATCTTTCATTGATATAATCAATTGAAAATAGTTTGCTAACAACATGCTTTTTACAAGTTAAAATTTTTTTATTTTATTTGATGATATTCCATTGCACAAAAACTTTGGATATGATTGAGAAACTGCGATACCATGGTAAAAAATTTTATGGTGTATCTTACAGATCATAAATTAGTCTTGAAACTTATTATTAAATTTGAAGAGTGTCTGGTAAAAGCCAACCATATGCTCGAATAGTATAAGCTAGACTCTCATCTACATGCAGCTCAAATTTTGATATGATATGTTTTTCATCAATAACTTTAAATGCCATATAGTTTTTTAAAACTTCAACAATCCACTAAGAAAATAAAACTAGTTTAATTTTTTTAAGAAGCTACTTATTTCTTTTCTTGTAATCTTGAAGCTATAGCACATTTGTGAAATGCTGTGCTTTGACGATGCACAGTGATATCTTTAGAAAAAAAGTTTTTTGTTGGAAGAGAAAAGTTTTTTGTTTAGAAAAAAAGTTTTTTGTTGGAAGAGAAAAGTTTTTTGTTTAGAAAAAAAGTTTTTTGTTGGAAGAGAAAAGTTTTTTGTTTAGAAAAAAAGTTTTTTGTTGGAAGAGAAAAGTTTTTTGTTTAGAAAAAAAGTTTTTTGTTGGAAGAGAAAAGTTTTTTGTTTAGAAAAAAAGTTTTTTGTTGGAAGAGAAAAGTTTTTTGTTTAGAAAAAAAGTTTTTTGTTGGAAGAGAAAAGTTTTTTGTTTAGAAAAAAAGTTTTTTGTTGGAAGAGAAAAGTTTTTTGTTTAGAAAAAAAGTTTTTTGTTGGAATTCTTTTAACTAGTTCTTGTATTGATCCAGAAAATAATTAAAAAAAAATTTATTAAATAATATTTGTTTTACTTGTAATTTAAAATATTTCAAAACTACTATATGTAATGTAATTTAGACACAATAAATATCAACAATTATTTACCACACTTATTTGAGTTTGGAAGTTTAAAAATACTAACTGCAACTTCTCCTTGTTTCGCTACTGCCACAACCATATATTGAGCAGTTTATTTCTAGTGAATCTAGATTTATTAGCAGTTTTGCTAATAAATCTAGATTCACAAAAATAGATTTCAGTTTTACTTCAGCTTACTAAACAGCTTTAAGAAACTGAACTTAAACTGAAAGATATCTTAGTTTATCTTTAAATTTAATCTTATGATTCAATGATAAAAATATTGACGACTTGAATAAAGAAAAGAACTTATTAGTCATACCAAATACAAGATAATTAGACACAATACTACATCTGAATGAGTAAATTATTATGTTTTTACTATTTTGCACTCCAAAGGTTTTATTTTTTTCGTGCACAGAGATAAGACAAAAAGCTATTGTATGCTTCTAGACTATTAAATCTTGTGACTATGATTCCAAAAACCACAATTGATATGAGACTAGAAACAATATATTTTAAAATTAATAGAATATATAGAAATAATCACTTTAATACAAACTATTGGAATACGAAGTGTCTTAGCATAACTAATACTACTAGCTATTCATTTTTATATATTATAACTATTGTATTGATTATAACATGGTAATAATCAATACATAAAAAAGCATTTATTTATTTTATTACTATTACGAGTATTCATAAAGAATAAGTTTCTTGGTATGTTGATAGATACTACAAACAGACGCTTGAGATAAAATAAAGTTACAACACAAATAAAAATAATGATCATTATAATCATTCTAACTGGCATTTATAAAACTAAAAAGATTTCATCAAAAAACAATAAGAATACATAAATTTAACTTTTGTGATTCAGGATTTATAAATTTCCTCCAGAAATAGAAAAAAAAAAGCAGTCACTACAACAAATGTGATCTTTAGTAATATATTTATATACAATTGTATTTTATATTATAACTTCCCCACTGAGAGAGGTTATTAATAACAACTCTACAATGTACATTTATACATATTTAACTTAATTTTGTTTATTTTGAAATTTATTTAATATACAAAAAAAAAGTTGTAAATTTAAAGTGTTTGACTACAAAGATTCCAATAAAATAAGATTAAATTAAAATAATAAAGGATAATACTAGATTTTGGATTTATTATTTTTTAAACACAACTTTATTTATTGACAATGGTGAAAAAGGAAAATCCAATATATAAAATTTCTATTTTCACTTTTACCTTTTTCTTTCATAAGTTTAATACGTTGTTGTTTTTTTTCAGTAATCTCTGCTTGAAGAAGTGGTAATAGCAAATGTCTGTCCCAATCTCCAGGAGCAAGCACAACACTATCATCCAAAAAAGAATTCATGGCATCTAAAATATCATCCCGATTTTTAGCTGTGTATATCAGGTCATGGAATATCTAAATATATATTTTTATTTATAACTCCTTTATTATTATTTTAATTATTTTATTACTATCACTATAATAACAGTGATAATAATAACAATAATAATAATATAACAATAGTAATAATAATAATTATTATTATTATTATTTACAAAGAAATATAATTTACCTTGTCAGACATTAAAGTGGCTATAGATCTTCCTATTTCATAATAATCCAATGAAGATGATGGACCAAGTATCAAAAAAAGAAATCGAGTAGGAATATTAACTTCAGATAAGTTGCCTAACATGCAACCTTTAGAAAGCCTAACAAAAGCCATTGCTGGTCTATCAAGATCATCAATAGTGGCTACTAGAACAGAGCTTGATTCCGCTCCATCTGGGATCTTTGTTTTAATATCCGATTCTTTATTAGATTCATCGGAATTATCTATGATAGGTCGGAATTTCATTGAAGATAACTTCTAAAGATGTTTTTAACTGAATTTCATGAACAAGAATATAAATGGAGCACATTTACACACAAAAGATACTGAGGATTTGCTCTCAGTATCATGTGTACTATGTACACATAAGTAGTATTAAATAAACCAAAGTAAACCAAAGTACACATAAGTAATACTGCATTCAGTATTACTTATGTGTACTTTGAGGATACTGAAGACATGTACACATTAAGGATACAATATTAATAAATAAATATTTTATTAAAAATAAAATATAATAAAAAATATATTACAATAATTAAATAAATAGACAACAAAAAAATGACAGAATATGAAAATACTGTTTTATAAAAAAAAAAAGCATCAACATACCAAGAATCCTCCATCCTCTCCACCAACGGAACTATTTGTTTTTTTTAATACATTATTTCCAAATGAAGGTAATGAAAGTTGCCTGTTATAGGCATTTGGTTTTTTACTTACACAACCATCATCAGAATATATTTTTTTTAGCTTTTTTTTTTGATTACTGCTATCTACAAAACCAACATGATCAGCTTCAACTATATCAGATTCTTCTAGCTTGTCATTATTTAAACTATTTTTGATTACCAGTTCATTTGCCATGCTCGAGATGCTTGCAGAATATTTGGGTCTTAATCCAGCTGTGCGCTGATGTTGATGGCAATGCTTGGAAAGTAAGATAGATATAAGTTTGTCGCGCATTGAATGATGCACCTGATCTGTTATTATCATGTTGTCAACTACACTTTCAAATATACTTGGCAAGTCATAACTTTCCAAATTCAACAATACTGTACCTATGTTGAACATTTGTATAAACATAAATACAATTTTCAAAACTTAATTTAATAATACTTAGAAAGCCACTACTACTCATAAACTTTAAAAAAATGACAACCCTCACTTAAAAAAAAAAGGCAACAAAACCACAAAAAAAAAAAAAAAAAAAAAAAAATTCAAAAACCTTAATCTGCAGAAGATAAAATGTCCAGGCAAAATGTTTATCGGATATATTTCTATACAAAATAAATTAAATGATACTAAATAAAATACCTCTTTCAACTCCTCTCCTCAATTCTAACAAACTTCGAAACGATAGCGAAGCAACATGTGGTTTACCCCAACGTTCATTTTTTTCTATATCCTCCTCAAACTTAAGCCATCTAGCTCTTTCTTTCCATTGAAATTCATTATTATCTGTAGCTGTAAGTTCTTCAAGCTCGACAAAACCCTAAAAAAATTAGGACATAAAAGTATGTATTTTTCAAAATTTACTTAGCTCAATAAAATTTCAAGCTTCAAATCAAAAGTTCTAACTATTATATATATATATATATATATATATATATATATATATATATATATATATATATATATATATATATATATATATATATATATATATATAAATATATATATATATATATATATTATATATATATATATATATATATATATATATATATATATATATATATATGTATATATATATATATATACCGGGTGACCGAGCAACAGCGTAATGCAAAAAATATAAAAAATTTAAAAATACACAAAAAAATTATTTCAATTCATAACTGACTAGAATTTTGACTAGATGTTTATTCATGACTAAGGTTTAAAATTATTCAATGTGGCCACCATTGTGGCATACACAAGTTGGATACGCCGCTGGAAGGATTTGCATGCATTCTTGACATCTTCTTCTGGAACTTTGGCCCATGCTTTGCATATAGATTTTTTTAGTGACTCGGTACTTCCATGGGGATTCTTGCAAGCTTCCTTCTCCACAGCCATCCACATAAATAAGTATAATGGGTTCAGATCTGGGCTAGATGGGGGCCACTTTAATTTGTCCCAGTACTGACTCATGTTTTCACTGAGAAAATTTTGTATCTTTTTTGAAGTATGAGCTGGTGCCCCATCCTGCTAAAACACATACTGACCATCTGGATAGTTTCTGTTTAACCAGGGAATGACCTTCTCTTGCAGAAGGTGGATATACTCATCAATGAGTATATCCACCTTCTGCAAGAGAATGTCAATTTTTTGACCTTTTTTCACAAAAACTAGTGGACACTTTTTTCCATCACTTGCTATCACGCCAAGTACCATCACAGAAGCTGGTTTTTTTGATGAAAATGAATACCTGATATTATCAAGGTTCTTTTACTGTTTTGGCAGTACTAAGGTACCTTGTGTTACGACGATTAGTAACTTTATCTACAGTGAAAAGTTTTTCATCAGAGAAGATTGTCACACGCCCAGGGTAAGATTTTCGCCAGTTTAACAATTTTTTTGCATCGCTCTTTCTACTTACCTACTTTTTCCTACCTACTTTCTTCCTGTTTATTAGTGATAAGATGCTTAGTCACAACTGCTCTGGATTTAAGGTTCAAATCTTGCATAACTTTTTGCATTGTGGAGTTGGCAACATTGGCTTCCCTTACCAACTGGCGGATGGAGCGCAATGGATTTCGCTTGACTTTTCTTTTGACAGACCTTAAAAGCTGAGGTGATCGTTTCACAGGTTTTGGCTTATTAAAACATCGTTTGATATCTCCTGTTTCATGAAAAAGTTTTCTTACTCAAAAAATTGCTGTTCTGGAGTAGTTTAAAGCCTTTCTGATATCTGATGTAGTCTTATCCAATTGCAACATTTGCAGAATGCTTCGTCTTTTTGATTCTTGCAGATCCATTTTAATTAAATTTTTTTAATTTTTACTTTTTTTTTATTTCTGTGTTAATATCATTGCGTAATTTGTAAACAAATAGATCCACAGATATCTACAAGCATGGATAGAGCCTTAAATTTGAGCAAAACGCAGTTGCGTGGTCACCCGATATATATATATATATATATATATATATATATATATATATATATATATATATATATATACATATATATATATATATATATATATATATATATATATATATATATATATATATATATATATATATATATATATATATATATATATATTAAGGTGCATCCAATGCCCTCATGTCAAAGAATTGTCTTGTCCCCAACCCAAAACGTTTCATAGGACCTTAAATGAACTTCTGCCAATTTTTTTACAAATCTGATTTGATTTAGGGGGTCCACCACAAATCTGAAATTTTGTCATTGTACGAAAAATTCGACATACGCGAAAGAACCAGAACGAATGCAAAATTCTTTAGCATTTTAAATAAATATGGTTTTTTTCGATAATAATAATTAAAAATATATAATATATATATAGGACTATAGGTAAATTTTAATTTAATCATTTTGTTTTAATAAATATAATTAAAATAAATATAAATAATTATGTTTTTCAATATATTTAATTTATAATTATCACTTCTTGGCCACCGTACATAATATTTCAACAGATCTTGTACTAGTTCTTTGTTGCCATCTTTATTTCAATTTTCAAGTGCTAGTCTAAATAGTAAATATTTCTGAAATATATTATATATTTTATATTGTGTAAAGCTGAAAAATTAAAAGAGATTTTGTATTATGCAGTTACTAGTTAGTACTTAGTAATTATGTACATATATTACATAAATGTTGTTTATGTTTGATTTCATCAGTGATTATTTATTTATAGGTATTATAATTGTCAGATAATCAAATTAAATTATAGTTTTCTGTTTTAGATTAACATACAACAATTTAAATTACTAAGAGTAAGAAGTTTAACGGATAATAGGATATTATGAATACCACCAACAGCACTTTAGTCTGTACCAGTATGAGTGAAGCAGTGGATTTGACCCAACAGCAGTACTTCAAACACCTTCTACCCCTAGTTCATCTGGCAATCAAGACATCAAGAAGATAGCCATGCAAAAATCAGCTATCATATTTGGACTTGGGAGCAAGATAACTGAAGATGACGCAAAATTAACTGGGTGTCAGCTTCCAACTTCTCGTCAAGTGTTGCACTGTCTAATGTACCACCTTGATGACGGAGCTAGTACAAATCGAACTAGATGGGAGTCAGCAAAACTTGTTTTGTCAAAGCTGAAGCTATTTTATGATAAGGCTAATACTCCAATAACTAGCGAACGTAAAGCGTGCGAAAAGATCATTAAACTTCTTGATGACAATGCCAAGATCTGAGCAATGCCTTTGAAACGATCATGAACTGCACCAACTCTATCATTTGTATGGAATTTGACACAACTGCATCAAACACAGGGCATGTCACTGCAGCTTGTATGACCAATCAGCAACGCTTGGGTCAATGTCTTCTTTGGAATGCGTGTCGACATCATGTTGGAGAGACAATCTTAACTCATGTGTTTTCCGACCTCCAAATCGAAGTTTCAAAATCGCCAGACATCACTCTGTTTACAAGATTTCGTAAACACTTTGAGCTACTTCAATCGCGCCCAGCTGATCGACTGTCAAGGTTTGAATCCACCTCCTTTTCTGA